CGTCCCGCCCACGCCCACCGGCCGTCCATCGGTCGGCAAGTCTCTACACCAGACTTCTTGAGCAGCTAGCAATCAGGCGCGAGCTAAAAATACCTGCAGTGGTCGACGTCCCGATCGATCAACGATGGGAAATTTTTGACGGAATTTTTCCGGAAAAAATCGAAAAAAAACTAGAAACGATTAAAATGTTTCCAGAAAAATTAGACAAAATTAAACTTCTCAGACGAAAATTCAGATGTGTAAGGCGGGTTCACGATCAACTTACTTACGCTGAACTTGTTTTCCTAAGCGAAAACCCATTTTTATTCTGTCTATTACACACGAGCTTAAGAGTGTGTTTACGATACTTCAGCGAAACGAAACTCTTGGACTCATTTCTCATTGTGTTTCTGTTAGGTTTTACTGCAAAAACGAGGCGGTGACCAAGCGAAGGACGATCTGGGCGATTCCGTTTAGCATAAGGAGCATCGTGAATGCTCTTCGCGGACGACAAAACACGCTGCCTTTTGAAAACACGTTTAACGCACAGGAAGGTGATCGTGAACCCGCCGGAACCCACCTTAAAAAAAATCTTCAAAAGGTTTTCCAAAAATAACCTTTTGGAAAACTGAAATCTCCGATCAGAGGAGTGTAGAGTAGCGCCCCCCGACGCCCAAGTTCACTGCCCATACGAGGTTCGGGACCGTCACAGCGAGCTTGGCGGCCCGCCAGAGCAGCGGCAGCGGGGCAGGCCGGTGGCCCGGCAGCTCCGCGGTCCTTCCCCCCCGGCGCGGACCCAGCCAGACACTTTTCACTTTGCCACCGGTCCAGCTACTTGCACTCATGATTGCTCTGATCGTTGCACTTTCACCTTTCACCCTGCACCACTGCAAACGGCCGCGTTTTTAGGTCCGCTCGTTCAACCTACGATACTTTGAAACAAAGGGCGCAATTTCTGTTCAAGCGGTTCCCCTTATATTTGTCAAAAATCGATTCGTCGATGTGCCATAATTATCGCAGAAAAGAGCTCGATTTTGGACAAAAATCGATGTCGCGATTAGCGAAATCGCCAAAGCGAATCGAAGAATCGTTATTGGCAGAGGTGAGAAGCGGAAAAGCGTACTCGCAGAAAAAGAAAAACACTTTGCTTAGCATACCAATTTTAATAATAATTGGCGGGAGTATAGCTCGTATATTTTTTCTCGACTAATAATTTTGTTGTTTTGAACCACGCACAAGGCACAGCACTCCGTCGTAGGGTAGGGTTAAGCCTCTATAGACGGTTCAGCCCCACGAGAGGGGACGAGAGCAGCACAGCACATCACCCAGTGCGAAGCGATTGTGTCTAAACGACAATGTAACGACGTCGTCGGTTTTGCCCTCGCCTCGACGGCGCGTTTCGATCGTTTCGGAACGTTATGGTTCCGCAAAGTCGTATCGCTCCGCCGCGCCCAACTGTCAGAAAGAAAGGAGTGCACCGGAAATAAAACGTGTGTAATGTGAGGTGTGCGAACGCCATTTTGGTGGATTTAGTCTCGTGAGGCTTCAGAGGTTCTGAGCCAGTCACAGTCCTCAAAACCTCTGAGGCCACCAGTCACAGTGAGGCAGCCTCACCGCGACGGCACGGCTCACACGAGACTAAACCCACCATTTTGTACACTCCAGGGAGTACAAGTGTGAATTTTCTTCTGAAATTCACGAGCCTGTGCCTTCAAGGGTGATGTGTGTGTACCGACTGAGAATGCGCAGCAGTGTTGCGGGCTTGCCTACCCAGTTAGCCCGTAAGGCGCCATGGCCCCTGCAGCACTGGCGGCACTGGAAAAACTAATGTTACCTTGGTAACGTTTCATCATGTGACCAAGACCGGCAACGTTTCCTGACGCGACCTACCCCATGCAAAAGGATAGGGCCATCACAAACTGGTTGCATCACCAAACGTTACCTGGTTTGGTCGCGTCAAGTTTTTCCAGTGGGGTATGCAATCCCGCTACACTGCTGTGCATTCTCAGTTACACCTGGTATGTGGTATTCATTCACTCACCCACAAGTGTGCGACATTCACACACTTGCGTTTCCGGGCGGATGGGAAGAAACAGAACGGAATGACAAAGGCGTGTCGCGCCCTTGTTGCACCATGGAGGTACGATACACGCCTATCGCCTCGCCCCCGACTGCTGGCTGCTGACTGAACTTAGGCTGCTTTGGAAACGATCCTTTGCCCTCCGCATATCTGTCTGTCTGTCTGTCTGTCTGTCTGTCTGTCTGTCTGTCTTTCTGTCTGTCTGTCTGTCTGTCTGTCTGTCTGTCTGTCTGTCTGTCTGTCTGTCTGTCTGTCGACTGATGCGGAAAAAATCGCTTTCGCAATTTGTCATGGAAACACTCATGTGTGAGGAAAAGCCGTGCTTGAACGCGCTGCGGAATCAGTCGTGCGGCTGTCTGTGTTGCACACTCTTTTGGCTGCGAATCCAGTGAGCGTGGCGTCACATATCCAAGTCACACAGGCGCGCGGCGGCGACACCCCGACATCTGGTTTGGAGATGGCCGAGAAGAGCCGCGCGCGAGCTGAGCCTGGCGCTGCTTGACGCAGTTCGCCAGGCAGCATTACGGATTGAGTCCTCTATCAGTATTTGATCCCGATACCACAGGTATGTGTTTGTCTGTGTGAGAGGGAGGAGGGGGGGCTCTGACTTTCCTCTTGTTCCTCGCCCTCTCCTGAAGACAATGTCCTCCTCTATTGATCGGGTGGCGGCCGGGGCGCCGCCGCCGCGCCGGGCGCGCCGTACTTCCTGCCGGGCGGTGGTCTTCTTGTCTTCAGTCGAGTCCAGCGCCGTCGAGCCCACGGGAGAGTGCCCCCCCCCTCCTTCACATTGCAAGCCCTCATTCAGGTAGTCACATCACATCACACTATTGCCTCGCTGCCTGCCGGGCGGCGCCCATAGCCACACTATAGCATGATAGATCTCATAACGACAACACTGTAAAAAGGTTTGTCGGAAATTTCCGAACAATGAACTGGAAAATTTGCAGCCCGAACAGTTTGGAAAATTCGAAATCCAAACAGTTTGGAAACACAATTTTCCAAACTATTTGGAAGTTTCGAAACTTTTTAGAGATCTCTGAAAAACGTTTGACTAACATTTTTGAATATATTGGCGAATTGTCATTTATGATGCGACTAAACTTGGTTCTGGTGTAAAATGGTTCCTTTTTTCTGTTCCAAATTGTTGGAATTGGAATTGGAATTTCCAAGAACAGGATTGGAAATTTTGTTTTCT